AACTTTAGTCTTAACCACGAAACTCGGACGGTTTACCAGTAAAAATGATTTTGCAGTTTATACGCGGCAAATTAACGTTTCGTGACTTCTCGGGCGATAATCTATAATTTTTTAATAATTGAAGGCAACATATTTACTGTCTAAAAACAGGAAATGTCTAAACATCTTTATTATACACATCTAACATACATATATTAAACTAATATACATCTACTGTATAGTATAATCTATACTGTAGATAATATCTTAAGATCTCTCTTAACATCTAATACAGTATTCAGAATCGAAAATACTGCTCACACACACATGTATAAAACAGGTTCTTTTTAATTTCATTGTATCGAGAAGTATCGAGGATGGTCCACATAAAGTGTTACAACCCAAAAACTCTAAAAATATTTGTCGTAGCAAAAAGTTGTTCATAAGAAAGTTTTATGTATACACACACACTTCCTTTTCGGAGAACACATTTTTCCAAAATGGCCTAATAGTCGTTAATTATCACCGGGAGGTCCACCGCGATGATATGTACGATCGCACGACACGCACGACCCTCTTCAAGGTGGGGCAGCGGAAACGCGATCGTTCATTGCGTGATTCATTCACGCTGCGCAACTTTTATCGGAGACGCGTCTTACGACGCGTAAAAGATCCATTGCGACGCAGACGAGGAAGAAGGAATGCGAAAAGCTTCAGAATTTCAGCGAAATAGTTGAATTACAGCCGAAAAGCGAACTCGAACGTACGAATGAGCGGCTGTACGTCGCTGGATTGGAGGATTGATCGATAGCCCCGCTCAACTTTTTTCCGAGTAATGATTATACAAACGATGACGTTGTAACGGAATAACAATAACACGTAGATATATCCAGTCGGCACGCACGGAGAAAACAAATTTTGCTAGGACAGCAAATGTTTGTCAATATAGTGACAGCGAGAAAAAATTGGTTTAGACAGCAACAAATTTGTCTGGACAGCAGGAAGATTTGTCAAGAGTATTAATTGTCCATATATCCAGCGAATAGCAATTAATATTCTTAACAAATTTTTCTGCTACCCAAACAAATTCGTTGCTCTAACCAAATTTGTAACCAAAGCTCTGAACAAATTTTTTTTGTTGTCACTATATTGACAAACATTTGCTGTTCTAGCAAAATCTGTTTTCTCCGTGCACTGCTATGGATGTTACTTCTACAGATATGGGAGAAACAAATAATTTCAATAATAAAGCGCGTGTTCTCGCATTTTATCTTCCAAGTTCAACGTCTTGGGTTGAACGCGAAAGCATTCGCAAACGCCGTTGAAACGGATTTGACAGGCGATATTCAAATTTGAAAAAAAAATATCATACGAAAATGTGTGCAGAACGGTAACACGAACGTTTCATTCATGTTAATGTACCGTCAGCTTCGTGTTTCCATATCAATATGAAATCGATACGCAAAAAAGCCGCATACCTCCGCTCGGGACAAAACTGCTCTGTGCTCTGTAAAAATATTAAACTACAATTTCAGATTTTTAAGCGCGTCGAAATGACACACGTCCGTCGGAACGTTGTTGAAACGAGCGTTACGGGTTGACGGGTCTGTCGGATGCATCGCGGAATAAACTATTGTTTCGGCATGTAAGAGAGAGAGAGAGAGAGAGAAAGAGAATGTTATAAAAAAATAATTGACATTATCGAGAGAGTACAATCATTTCTATCGAAGCGTTAATCGCTGATGTTCCAATTAATATTATGTTTCAATTAATTTTTCCAAGGTATATTATAAATTTCAATTTGGGGGAACAACGTTAAATCATTATTATCATTTGTTATCGCGCATTATTGGTAGAAAAATAGGTAATTTGACACACGTGGATCGTTCGGAAATTTGCCCATAAATTTTAGATCAATGCACCTCTCGCTTGCTTTGGACATTATTTTTGTCGTGTTTGACGAGCGACGTAGCGCTACGCCAGAGAGAGAGAGAGAGAGAGAGAGAGAGATTGACTTTTCCCCGTGCATTCAGAGATCCTCTAAATTGCGAGATGAGATCTTATAATTAAATGCTCCACGAAATTGTCGACTCTTGCTCGCTACCCGGCGGCTCGATTGTCATTTTAATAGAACCGCTTCGGTCGTCCCGACTTTCAATGAAGAGGGGAGAGGAAGGGCTTGTACAAATAACTGCGTTTATAATATTGCAAAGCGGATCCACCGTCGTCTCCGACAAGAGAGACGCAAAGTTCCTCGAACTTGATAATAACGCACACTCGGAATTGACAACGCGCACCAATTATACCTGGCAAACCGGAGATCTCTTGTAATTTAGAGGAACGACAGTAATGACATTTGTATTTATAAAACGTGCAGCAAACTTTTTTGCGAATTGTTTAATAAAGGAATCGGAATTTATAATTATCCAAAATTATAAGAATAATTTATAATTATTGTATTACAATTGTTATTATAATAAAAATCCGAATCAACGACGAAAGCCGTGAGATTGCTGAGAAACGATATGATTTCAGGAGGAAAGAGCGAACTTTTCAAAAGTAAAAGTTTTGTCGTTTCGCGAGGAAATACGAAACGCACGATAAATAAGTGATAAAACAACGAAGCAAGAAATCCAAACTACGAGTCTCTCTATTCGATCTCTCTCTCTCTCTCTCTCTCTCTCTCTCTCTCTCTCTCGTTGGGAGAGTTTGATGTCTTATTTCATACTGGTCGCGATGGATTGATTGCTTCTACAAAAGAATTGATGTCTAGCATCGAAACTGTTGCACCGGAAAACAGTGACTTGCGAAAGATTGATATACGGGGGGGG